ATATGTATATATATATATATATATATATATATATATATTATATATATACACTTTCTTTTGGTACTATGAATCTTTGAACCAATATTTAAAAATGTGCATTTTATGGCGCTTGGTGATAAGACCAAGTTTGTCTATTCCGGGCCATAACCTTCGTACCATTCTAATATTCCACTCTAATATTGTAACTTTCTTTTTCAATCTTAGAAAATTAATGATAAAATTTTAGTTCAGATTGATTATTCTTTTTTCTTTTGATTCTATATTAGTATATATATACTATTGTATATATATATATATATATATACTATTGTATATAATATATATATATATATATATATATATATATATATATATATATATATATATATATATATATATATATATATATATATATACTATAGTATATATATACTATAGTATATATATACTATAGTATATATATACTATAGTATATATATACTATAGTATATATATACTATAGTGTATATATATATATATATATATATATATATATATATATATATATATATATATATATATATATATATATATATATATATATATATATATATATATATATATATATATATTAGGGTGAAGCGATTTTAAAAATTTTTCAAATTTGATTTGCCTGAGCTGCAAATCGATGTCTTTTGGTGAAAAAAGAACCTTACTTTTTTTTTTTTTATTTAAATGAGTTTTAGTGGTTCCTCTTTGGATTCTAAATTTATGACGGATCTTAATATTGTTGAAATTTTTTTTTTCTAAACTATATAAACCTGGTACTCAAAAGAAGCAGAATAATACGCTTATTTTGAATATAATATTTGTTTTAACTTAAAACTAAAGAAAAAAAATTAATGTCGTTTTTTTCATTAAAAAACCCTCGTCTTCATCAAAACGAGGGTTTTAAGGTATATTTTTGCAAATATTTTTTTCACAAATTTTTTTTTAAATAAAATTATTATTAATAAAACAAGCATTTTTTTCTGCTTTTTTTGAGTCCAAGCTTGATATAGTTTAGAAAAAAAAAAAATTCAAAAATATTAGGATCCGTCAAGGATTTAGAATCCAAAGAGGAACCTCAAGATCTCATCAAAATCAAAAAATATTTTTTTACTTTCATCTTATAATTAATAGACATTGATTCGTGTCTCAGGAATATTAATTTTTAAACTTTTTTTTTTTTTGCTATGAAAATCGCTCCACCCTAATACACTATAGTATATATATATATATATATATATATATATATATATATATATATATATATATATATATATATATATATATATATATATATATATATATATATATATATATATATATATATATATATATATATATATATATATATATATATATATATATATATGTAAATATGTATATTAATATATATATTATGTATATTATAAATATTATGTATATTAATATATATATGTAAATATTAAAGATAATTTCTTTATATTATCATGTATAATAATGTATATTTTAAAGAGTGCTCAATAGATAAACTAGAGCTATATAGTATATATATTACTATTACCCGCAGTATCAGGAATTAGCTAAATGCTAATCTTTATAATATTATTTGCGACTTAAAGTTTCATTTTGACTAGTTGCCTGATGATTGTGGTAACACATAAAACATCAAGTCGCAAATAATATTATAAATATTAGCATTTAGCTAATTCTTGATACTGCGGGTAAAAGTTATATATATATATATATATATATATATATATATATATATATATATATATATATATATATATATATATATATATATATATATATATATATATATATATATATATATATATATGTATATATATATATATATGTATATATATATATATGTATATATATATATGTATATATATATATATGTATATATATGTATATATATATATATATACTTTCTTTTGATACTAGAAATCTTTAAACCAATATTAAAAAATGTGCATTTTATGGTGCTTGGTGAAAAGACCAATTTTGTCTATTCGAGCCATATAAATATTTATTATAAGGAATAGTTTAAATTTTTTTTTAAGGCGTATATATATATATATATATATATATATATATATATATATATATATATATATATATATATATATATATATATATATATATATATATATATGTATATATATATATATATATATACACTTCTTTGATTCTTAGTTTTATTATTTTAATTGAACATATTTAAATATCTAATTTCAAGCTTTTCTGTTTTAGGTGAATACTCGTGTAATTTAGATAGCGACTTGTTTAAAATTGCTAAAACATTTCCAATGTATTCGCACGCTGTTTGGAATTTAAGTTCAATCATGGCAGATGTTCATTCTATGGATGCATTTCAATAACGAAACATTGAACAAGAAGCAATAGACATGTTCCGAATTTTAAAAATCAAATTTAAATTTTTCATAACTATTTCTTGCTTGTAAAATATTTGTTTTGTAGTCTATTAAGTAATAAGTTAATATTTTCATTACAAGTTAATATTTTCTTTGTCTTTATCATTAGTAAACTAGCTTGATTTATTATATATATATATATATATATATATATATATATATATATATATATATATATATATATATATAATATATATATATATTATATATATATATATATATATATATATATATATATATATATATATATATATTGCTCATGATAAAAATCAAAATTTGCATCATATATATTATCCACTTATTGATATATTAAATTATTTTAAAACCAAACAAATTTAAAAAATTTTTTTGCATAATAGTTTTTTCTTTTTTATTTCAGTCCGCAAAGATTAATGGATTGAATCATGTTACTACAGAGGTAGCCAGTTTTTTTATTTGATACAAATTTTATACAACTAAGCGACTTTTCATAGATAAAAAAATATTCTGGCTCCCTCCGTAGTAAGATACTTCTATTCATTATTTTGGTGTGAACTGTATAAAGAACCGACTCAGGTTATTCTACTGAAACCTTATTCATTATAGTTATAACATGACAAAATGATATAGTAAAAAAAAAATGCTTTAATGCTCAGTAAAAAAACTATCGGTTTACAACTCTTTATTAACGGTAAACTAATTTAATCCGGAGAAGAAGAAAAAAAAATCCGGTTTTATAAATATTTACACTTTTTTTTCTTATTCAATAATATAAGTATATGATGTCCTGTGTAAAAATTATTTTAAAATATTTTATGGTTTTCGAATTATTAACCTATTTCCTTTTTTTAGTAGGAGTGCGGTGCTTAGTGTGATATTGAAAATAAATTCGGATTTATCAAGCCACTATTTTGTTGCAATCAAGACAACCGGTTTCCTAAATTGGAACATTATTATTACTTAATCTTAACAGTAGGGTGTGTTGATTTTTCAGATAAAATATATTTTTGTTAATTTTTTTCTAAATATGATTAAGAAAAAAAAGTAACAAAAAAGTATATCTCTTTTTCAATTTAAAACATTTTGTATATTAAAAATGTCAAAAAGAACAAGAAATGTATTATCAATTAAAATTAGCAAACTTGTAGGGAATGGAAAAGAACTTAAAACATCTGAGCTTCCAACAGCTAAAGGTATGCTAAGATATGGTATATTTCTAAGAGAAAAATATAAGAAACTATTCTGTATATCAGCTAGTAACTGATGTTACCTGCTTTATTTGGTCAATTGATAAAAGCAAACTCACTTTTTACATATCCTCTTAAAATTCATAAAAAAACAATTTATAAAGAACTTGTTGACAAGCTTGTTGACACCTTATTTTGCAAACGTTAACTAATCCTTTGTTCAGAATAAATAGTGATTCAGAATGTATAGAAAAAGTTCATGTAAAATGTAAATGTAAGAGATATGAGAAAATACCGATTTTAAAGTTTCAATTTATCCACTCTCAGAGGACTAAAGTTGGCAGCTTTAGAACTTTTTATATTGGTGGTGCAGGTAGGAGAGAATCCAAAAAAAAATGAAATAACAAAGGAAAATTGTAACGAGAAAGAAGAAAAAAAAGGTAAATATTTAACACTAGAAGCCTCAAAGTGGATCAATTGATCCAAACATGTCTTTGACACTTTGCTGAAGCTAAAATTTTAAGTTGATAAAATGATATTTTATGCCTTTTATTATTTTTTTATTATTTAATGAAAAGCAGAAAAACTACATAAAAAACACATTCAGAGATGCGGCTATAAATAGTTAAACCTAAAAACCCTGAGGTGGATCAATTGATCCACCTTATAGAGAATGTGCATATACATAATAATTTTAGGCAAATTTATTTGCAAAAGTTTATTTGCAATGTTTACATATGTTTGATAAGCACTTTTCACAAAAAGGTTTCATATAATTTACACATACTGTTAATCAGGGCCGCCGAGAGCCGTCACGCCGCCTGGGACAGCAATCCTGATTGGCGCCATTATTTATACAAATTTTCTTATATTATATATGAAGGACTTTTTTTATTAGTATTTAGATACCTTCTTTTTATTTGGCGGCCCTTGGATATCTGCCGCCCGGGACAAGCTGTCCCTCGCAATCTCCCCTCTCGGCGGCACTGCTGTTGATGTCAGATTACTTTGCAGTCTGTTTTTACCTGACATCTCAAACGGATTGATAATTGTGTATTACTGTTGATAGCTAGGGTGATATTACTGTTAGCAGCAAATAGGGAGTAATATTTGCTTCTCTTAATTGTTCAGGTAAAGTGTAAAGCAACTTTTATCTCGAAATTTTTTGTTGTGTAACTTTTTAAAAATGGTCTAAGCATTTACACGGGTCAAGTTCAAAATATTGAAGAAAACAGCTAATGGCTAGCGTCTGCACCCAGATTATGTTGACATTTGTCAACACATTGAATCTAACATATCGATTCCACATTTATTTGAATTGTAATAAAGTATTGCCTTTAGTTTTTTCTTCCCGTCACTTTACTTAGTCGCCCCTTAATAAATTCTTGATAATAAAATAACAGTTTTCTTCTTCTTTGTCTGGTAGACAATCAAATTCAATGGTCCATTTTTGAAGAAAGTTGTATCGTAAAGTCAAATACTGGAATTTCTTTTCTAATATGCTTAACTGTTCCATTATTTGATGTTTTCATTTGCAAAAGTTTTGTTGCAATATCGACACTTGTAAAAAAGTTATCTGTAGTAACATTATACCTGCGACATAAATAAGGTTCCATTAGTGATATGATCACATATATATTTTTATCTTTACCTAGATACGGTTTGATATTGAGACAATATTTGATCTTTAAATCAGCTAAAATCCAGAATTTGACTCCGAACTTGTCCGGTTTATTGGACATATACTGTGTAAAGAAACATCGAGCTTTAGTTAGGAACAAAATTTTTGACAATCTTGTCAGCACTCATGACATAAGAGCAAATTTATCACTTTGGAGGAGCTCTCTACGTTCTGAACGTATATCGAATCTCATTCGTTTTTCATAATGTCTTCAAATATAGAACGCGACATAGTTTATATAAAAGCATCTACTTAGAGTAAAACGCGCCGTAATTTGGTCATAAAACCTATGTATGTATATATATATATATATATATATATATATATATATATATATATATATATATGTATATATATATATATATATATATATATATATATATATATATGTATAAGTTTATATATATATATATATATATATATATATATATATATATATATATCTTACATATATATATATATCTTACATATATATATATATATATATCTTACATATATATATATATATATATATATATATATATATATATATATATATATATATATATATATATATATACATATATATATATATATATATATATATATATATATATATATATATATATATATATATATATATATATATATATATATATATATATATATATATATATATATATATATATATATATATATATATGTAAGGTGAAAGAAATTTATATTTTTTATATAATTTACATTAAAATTAACAGTTTTAACTGTTAGTTTCATACATTTAAACAGTCTAAATGTCTAAATGCATAAAAAAAATTAAGTTGGATCAATTGATTTGAAAGTTAATACCGCAGTTACGCTACGGTTTATTACGCATATTTGTTTTATTTGCGTGTTTGGACATGTTATTTGTAGACTTTGTTACATCAAACTTTGTTTCTTACAGGTTTGTATTTCTTACAACCTGTTACGTTAGATACATACACAAAAAGTGTAATTCTATAGTTTAGTGGTAATTATGTTGTTTGCTAAAACTTTAGAGCATGTAGTGGTAAAAGCGTTGTTTGCAGTTTGTATTAGTTGTTAAAGTATTTATAATATAAATGTCACTAGAATTTGTAATTAAATGAATTGAATTTACTAAATGCAATTTATTTATTTACAAGTTCGATAATTTATTTAAATTACAGACCTCGAATATTTTTATTAAAAACCGTATAAATACATAAACAATTAAGTATCCTTTAAAACTATTTAAATCGAAAAGTCTATTTAGTGACCATAAAAGACTTCATATTGTCGACTGTTGCTTGTGAAAAACTACAATAAGTAACAAAAGTTGTTTCAAATTTTTGTTTGCAAAATGCTTAAAAAATGGCATCTTTTAATAAAAAATTACCTGTTCGAAAATATAAAATTTTTAGGGAAGACAATAAACTAGCAGCTTGTTTTCTATGTAAAAATAAGGTCTCGCGTGATGGGGAGGGAAGGAAAGCAAGTAAGTAAAACTATTAGGTATATTATAAATTATTAAATATGTTTTAATAAAACTAATTTATACAAGACGTAAGCACGCGCTGGAATTCAAAATACTATTTATTGGAGCGATTAGTAGAGCAAAAGCAAGTAGTCTTGTTGTATATAACTGATCATAGTTCTTTAAATAATTTAACACCTGCTTAATGGGAGTTAATAGAACAATGCATCAAACTGTTCGAAGAAATTATAAAAATAACCAGTATGGGTATTTCTGAGGTAATTCCATATGTTGTTACGTTGTTAAAATATCTGGGAAAGGAGGAGACATCACAGAGAACTCCTAGTTTATCAACAATGAGATCTTTATTTCAATATAAACTTAAAGCGCGGTTCAATTTCAGCAACGTAAATGACGGTTGTGATGCGTCAGTGCATAACTATTTAAAATGGAAAAATGTCAGAGTATCTGACTTCAGTAGTTAGTATTTCATTGCAGTAGTTAGTATTTCATTGCTGTAACATAAAAAGTTTTGATGCAGTCGTAGAAGTGTTTTTTTTTTTTGTTTTTTTTTAATTTTGTAATTTGTAATTTCGATAACTTGCATTTTTCAGGATATTTATTAGAAAGATCACATTGTAAAAACTTTCGCTTCTAATTAACTAATACGTAAATAGATATAATTTGACTCGGACTCATTCCTTTCAACAGCTCCTGTTTATAATCAAATACCAACAATCGTATTTTATTTAATTTTAACTTATTTATAAAATG